GACGAATACATTTCTAAGCTTCATTTTACTGCTTTATGTATCATAAAACCTACATGGCTGATACCATATAAGAAAGGCTTTGCAAATGAAGCATAAACATTTTTAATGTGGGTTTGAACCCATATCCGGTATCATTCCATTTATGTGCATAATTTTAGTCCCCTGTCCCCTGCATCACCTCTGCATCAGCATCCTGCCTGCCTCCTGGAGATGAGACGCAAGCTGCTATCTGCTCTTCAGAATGTGAAACAAAGAAATAGCTGTTTATAAACAGCACTGTAGTATCCATGTATATCCATGTATATTTACTGAAACGCATCATGTACTGTACTTTACTGTCAATGCATAGTTTATCAGATTGTTTGCGGTGATTTCACGTTTAAAACGAATTATAATTATATCACAAACCTGAATATAAGCACTATAAATACTATGTCCTCTCCATGGTCTCTGACCGTTCTTCATTTCTTCAGCTTTTTCTTTCGCTTTCAAAGATCGCTTTTATCCGTGCCATTGCCTTTCAGCGCCATTATCGCCTTCAAAACAGTCTGTAAACTACAAGACCCACGCTCAAAACAGCTCCAGCGCTGAACCCGAACCTCACTCTCCCCCTCCTGTGTATTGACCCAGAGGTGTCGAATGTCACGGCACTGAGTGGCCAAATCACGCCGTGTAATCTGACCTATTGCAGCCCAATGAGCAGCCCAGAGTTGTAAAACATAAGAGCCGCTGCCCGGAGCTGCTATCATTTGGAGAACCCGTGTTTTTCAAAAGAGTGTCTTTTTTCTCTGGTGCGCTTCTGTTGCGCTTCTGCGACAAAACAATAGATTTCTCACCAATGGAAGCACGCAGAAACGTGAAAATGGTCTCGTTTGAAAGAAGATATCCTAATCTAAAAGATAATATAGAGTTTGTGGCTGTTTGCGGCTGACTGAAGCAGTAGTGCGAGTAGGAACTGTGCATTTCAATGTTTCCTCAGAGGTATCAAATTTCACATCGCGATTCTATTGAAGATCATTCGATCTGTGATTGTCACACAATAAAATAATCTACAAAGTCAAATTCCTGAGAATGAGTGCTTTCTTCTGATATATGACTTGACCGTTTTGTGACAAATATAAAAATACACATTCTTCGGAAATATTCTTAGCAATCATTAGGCGGAAATTCGTGTGTGGGACGAATACATTTCTAAGCTTCATTTTACTGCTTTATGTATCATAAAACCTACATGGCTGATACCATATAAGAAAGGCTTTGCAAATGAAGCATAAACATTTTTAATGTGGGTTTGAACCCATATCCGGATCCGCACAGTTTAAAGGAGTAGTTCACTTTCAGAGTGAAAATTTTCAGGAAAAAAAATACTATGGAAGTCAATGGTGCTCATCAACTGTTCAGATCCCAACATTTTTCAAAATATCTTCTTTTGTGTTCAACAGAAGAAAGAAACTCATACAGGTTTGGAACAAGTGGGGGGTAAATGGTGACAGAATTTTCATTCTGAAAGTGAACTACTCCTTTAAGACATATTTTTGACGTGTTTTTCTGCACTAATTTTGTTCCATGATATCATTGGAGGTTTTAAACCAATCACTAAGCTTAAGGCTAGGCTATAATTGAAGCAGTGAGGTCAAAACACAAAGGAGGACAAGTGGACTTGGAAATTAATCCACTCATTGTGCCATCCTTACGTAACTGATCAGATCTTTGCCTTTAAGTGAAGTGAGGTAAAGCCATGTAAACCAAATTACAGGCTGGGCGAAACATTTTGAGCAACAGTTTTTTCACAAGAGTTTTTTTTATTTTTTTATTCAGTATCATGTCCTGCTGTTCCTTTTCTGAATGAGGAATATGCAGAAATAAACTGCCGAAAGCGGTTTTTCTTCAATTTGTAGTGTAGAATGTGTGCTGTCAGAATGAGAGTCCAAATAGCTGATAAAAACGTCACAATAATCTAGTGAAAAGCTGCGTGTTTGTAAGAAACAAATCCCTCAAGGCATTTTAACTTTAAACTGTCGTTTCTGGCCAAAATACCAGTCCATAATCCATAATAATGCTTCCTCCAATGAAAAAGTCCATCAGCTGTTGTCCCCCAACATCAAAATCCACCAACATATTTGTTTAGAATTGTTTTCACTTGTAAATGTTGCTTGATCTATGCATATTCCTCTCCTGATTTAGACGAGAACACTTTTTCACTGGAGAAAGCAATATTATGGATAGCCAGAAGCAACAGTTTGAAGTTAAAAACATCTTGATGGATTTGTTTCGTTAAAAAAAAAGCCACTTTTCACTTCACAAGATGTTAATTGATGGACTGCAGTCGTGTGGATTACTTGTGGATTATTGTGATGTTTTTATTAGCAGTTTGGACTCTCATTCTGATGGCACCCATGCACTGCAGAGGATCCATAAGTGATGTAATGCTAATAAGTGATATAATGCAAAATTTCTCCAAATCTGTTCCAATGAAGAAACAAACTCATCTACATCTTGGATGGCCAGAGGGTGAATACATTTTAAGTAGGCTAAATGTTCATTTTTGGGTGAACTATTCCTTTAAAATGTTTCAAACAAAGCATCGTTCATTTCAGACCTGTGGGATCTTTATACATTCGAGAATATTAGAGAATCAATAGTTCTGATTTATTTAAATAAGTGGTAAAAAGGGAAGTGGAGTTGTTGTCCTCTGCTCAAAATAATTTCTCAGCAAAAAGGATTTCCATCAGTCATGTGGAAACAGTTAATGTGTGCTGCTGTTAATAGAAGTCTGAGAAAAGACAGACCTCAAAATCACACATATCATGGGAATAGAATAAATAAACACACAATTGCTGTTCAAATAACAGTTCTTCTTCTCCTCTCCTCAGATCAGAGGAGTGCCAGCTGTGTCTGAAAACACCAGCCAAGAAAGCAGATTGAAGAGGTCTCCAAAAGAAAAAACTGCATGGCCATTTTCTCTCATGTGTTATGATGCAGTCTAAGTTCATATAAATCTTGGAACTTATTTCTTGATTATGTTGTAATGAATGAAAGATGGGATATTTGTTTCCATCATATCTGTAAGAGCTGTCATGCTGTTAGCTGAGATTCCTCTCTGCCTCATTGACCATATGGGAGGCTTCAAGCTTTAGTGGGAGACGTCACCATAACTTCAGGGCGCCCTGCCTTCAGCAGTGTCCCATTAAATAAACCAACTGTCCATCTGTGTCCAAAAAGCAATTTAGGGCCTCAGGATCACCAGATTTGCTTATCACTGACAACCTTTTTATGCACATAATTTTCAAATTAAGGTCTAAATTCTAGTATTTATGTGAATTTGTGAAAATGATCTTACATTACATAACCAGCATTTTCTGAATAAATGAAGACATACATATTCTCGCTATTGTCATTCGTTATGCAATTTTTTCATTTTGACCAGAATTTGGTCATATTCTATTATAGTTGAATGAACACTAGTGTTCAAAAGTTTTTTTTTTAATAAAGTGCTTTTAGTCAGCAGAGTACGCTTTAAATTGATCAAAAGTAACAGTAAAGACATTGTTACAAAAGATTTGTGTTTCAAATAAAAGATGTTCTTTTTAACTTTCTATTCAAAGAATCCTGAAAAAGCACAACCGTATTAACATTGATAATAATTTTAGACTTAGAAACTTACACAATGTTTTTATAGTACAATGACCTCTTATATATCAAAAGATCAAGAGAATTTTGATTTCTCCATTCATGACCCCTTTAACAATTTAGTTCCCTACTATACAGATAAGTCACTTAAAAACAGCAATGATTAATAATTATGACATAATTGTATTCCAAAAACTCCTATAACCCAAAGTATATTACATTACTGTATATATTAACATTGATAATAATAAGAAATGTTTCTTGAGCAGCAAATCAGCATTAGAGTGTTTTCTGAAGGATCATGTGACACTGAGTAATGGCTGCTGAAAATGCAGCTTTGATATCACAGGAATAAATAAAATTTAAAAATATATTCAAATAGAAAACAGTTATTTGAAACTGTAATAATATTTCACAATTGTTACAAAAGATTTGTGTTTCAAATAAAAGATGTTCTTTTTAACTTTCTATTCAAAGAATCCTGAAAAAGCACAACCGTATTAACATTGATAATGATAAGAAATGTTTCTTGAGCAGCAAATCAGCATTAGAGTGTTTTCTGAAGGATCATGTGACACTGAGTAATGGCTGCTGAAAATGCAGCTTTGATATCACAGGAATAAATACAATTTTAAAATATATTCAAATAGAAAACAGTTATTTGAAACTGTAATAATATTTCACAGTATTGCTGTATTTTTATTGTATTTTCTGATTAAATAAAAGGCAACTTAAGCAACTTCAAAATATATTCAAATAGAAAACAGTTATTTGAAACTGTAATAATATTTCACAATATTGCTGTATTTTTATTGTATTTTTTGATTAAATAAAAGGCAACTTAAGCAACTTCTTTCAAAAACATTACAAAACAATTACAACCCTAAACTTTTGAACAGCAATATATATAAATTATTTCTAAATGTGAATTGAGTTACTGTCAAATATTACAAAATGCAACATTAAATGACAAGAGCAAGCATTTCCAGAAAATAACAGTTCATTATTCAAACCTTGTAAGGTTTCAAACAGTTTTGGTTACCAGCTCAGATCTTTTAGATTATGGCTACACCGCACCCAAAAACCCTGCAGTTAAACAACTTTAATGATAAACAATTTGTTTTAATCCATTTATTTTAAATAACATCCTAAAACATTTTTCAATTTCAACTGAAGACACAAACGGAGATGACCAACTTGAGATCACATTTGAGATGTGATTTGCTCAGAAGGCACATGAATCCTCTATGAAGTTCTATTCATAAGCAACCAGCTATGAGGGAAGAAAAAAAAAACAGACGTGGAAAAAATGAAAGGTCTTGCAGCAACAGGAAAACAGCTATGAGAGCACATTCCTAGTGAACCCCGGCTTAGACAATGAGGGGTGGGACAAAACTGTAGATTTTAAAATCTGTAATCTAACCCCTAAATCAAGAACATTGCTCAAAGTTTGCTTTACACTTATCGAGATGGAGTCGTCAGGAGTCGACCAGGGAATGTTTATTTCAAAGCGGAAGAAGCCTGTTTCTTCTCCGAGAAGTAGTTTCTTGTTTTCGGTTTATCAGCTCGAGATTTGACTGGAGATATATGCCACGACTCGATATGTTCTGCATCTACACCATATTTCGCTTGAGGAAATAGGACTGATCGGATTGTGCGTGAATGAAAACTGAACTGTAAAGAGTTTAACTAGAGTTTACACCGAGAGTGCCAGGATGTGGAAAAAGTTAAGGATCCAGCACATCTGGATATGACTTGCGCCGCTGATTTCACCATATTCGACGTTAGGAGATAATACTTTTATGTTTTGAGTAATGAGAGACGAGTTTCATAAACAGATGAAGTTTGATAAACTTAATTCGTGAGTGAGCACAAGACGAAAATCAGGTAAACCACCCTTCATGTTTTCTTATCTCTTTTTTATCTATCTCTCTGAAATTGCTCTTATGGTGAATGTGGCGTAAACCATGAATATATATGAATACTATTTAGAGTGTAAAATTGATAACGTTTTTAATGAAAGGGTCATGAATAGTTGATAAATGCTTGGTTAGAGCTTCTTTACCATTGTGAAGGGACAGTAGCAGCGATTTTAATTTAAACAAATCACAACATCCAGAAAAACACAAATCATAGTCGTTGTTTTTTCTCTTTCATCCTTTAAATTCATAGGCTATTTGAGGAACGTTCTCTTCACAGGTGAGTTGTCAGATAACAGAAGGACATTTCAAATATGTGTTACAGGTTGGTCATTTTTAAATGTGTGTCTGTGTAATATGCCTAATGATGATGCAGTATCTGAGTCCAACAATGGTAGGCCGCATTATATATCACATTGCCTAAGTATTAGAATTAAATATTACAAGAATTTAAATAATGTAATAACCATTGCAATAGCTTAAATACCAGTATTCTGTGTAGACATCTTTGCACGCCATGTTTTACAAGAATACTTGTTGCACTGACTAGCACAGAGCCCTAAATGAAAAACACAGAACCGTGAGGTCAGTTAATTTATCTCTCTAACTGTGAAATGCTGGCGCTTACAAATACATTGAGGCGTACCAGTCCTTTTTAACTGCAGTCAATACAGGCAAGTTCCTACAGCTGCAAGATGTAGTCAGAGATATGCTGCTGAATGCTGAAATTCCCCTTGACATGCTATACTCCATCTAAACTCTTTTAAACAGAATTTTGCTCATTCTTTTATAATCATCATCATTATACACGCAGCCCTTTCATAGCTTAAAATGAACTAAATATGAAAATGAAAAATGAAAATAAATCACCAGTTACAGGACTTCAGACTTTCACTGTCACTTATGCATTCATAAAAAAATATAACCCAATTCATAATTCATAACTCAAAATATTAAAATAAAAAAGCATTCCCTATATTCACACTACCTGACAGGGTAGTTGTAAGTCACTTTAATATAATTACTATTAGAAATAATTAACCTAAATAATAATTAACATAAATAAATGTTAATATAAATGACAAAACAAAGCTGTGAGCAGCAAAGGGTTTATTCTATTTCATAAAATGAGTGCTGAGAAAAGTGGAAGGAGAATAAAAAAGTGCACTGTTAGTTCCCTTGGGTCTTACATGGGAGAATGCTGACAAGCAGGTCATCGAAACAGGAATCGCATTTCACCATGTTCACTTTAGGCTTTGATTCAAGACGGACACTATCTGATTTGAGAAACATCCTGGCAGCTTGGAAGTAAAGATCAGTGTACCCAGAGAGAAGAGAGCATTTCCAAAAGGGTGGGGTTGTTTTCCACCTTAAATGTGGCCCAGAGGGCCCAGCAATTACCCATTTGTTGTGCACTAAGCGTACGTGACAAAGTTGTTTACACTGACCCACCTGCGCTTACATTGGTGGGCTTAAATGGAGTCCTTAAAAGACTACTCCACAGACAAAGTGACTCATGCTGGAATCTCGCTCTATGTGTTTCTATATCAGGAAGTGGTCATTGTCATTTCCAGTTACCCTATATTTGTGTGTGGGCTTGCATCCCATAATGCCATTCACTTATATCAAATGTATTGCAGGTAGCAACAAATATCACAGATTAAATAGATTAAACATTCAAGGAAACTTCTCATACATATCGCTTTGCATACATATCGCTGAAGGCAGTTTTATGTGTATGCCATTTCTTCAGAAGGGAAGGAGCAACTCTGGCTCTAATTACCGATCCATTTCAAAACATCATGGCTGACTCTGTTTTTCCATGACATCACATAAGTATATAGTACACATACTTTAATTACAGTGTTGGGGCAACACGAAAATGTTATTTTTTTCAGCATCCTACTGTTATACAGTGATCACAGAATGAATTCGGCCAATTTGGGTCACCTAATAACTTAAAAATGTATGAATGTCATTGAATTATACAAAAATTTATAATTCTAATGTATTATTTAATTATACAATAATGTATAATTATATAAAAAAGGCATCTGCAAACAAATGATGCTAGAGATTTTCTCAGAACTCTTAATATCATTATAGCATAAATTTATATATTTTTTTCACCTATTGCTTGTTGAAAGTGGCTTGGATGACAGGCCAACACTTCAGCATGCAGGTTTTCCATCTTCTTCATATAATAGGCTTTCACTCAGCCATTTTGCTTGCGTGACCAGTCGACTTCCAGACCTAGAGGAACAAGCAATCCGTAGTATCTGGACGGCTAGCCGGGTGCGGCCTCTGAATGGCAGGAAGTATAGCCATCAATATTTACTCTGCGTGTGCAGCAGCCAGAGTGTCTGCGAGGACCAGTGGCACAGAGGAGAGCGAGGCCTCCACTAAAGTCCTCTCTCACCCACTCTGACTATTATTGCAACACAGACAGACTGACTGGACCCTCTCCATCTGTCATTCTTTAGCTCATGACTTCCTTTGGTGTGGACAGGGATTATTGAGCTTTTTTCCATTAGGGCTTGAAAAGAGATTCCTACACTACATGTCACTGTATGATTATGCCATTATATGATTCCAGCATGGAGCGTTGCCTTGTAAATGCCAGATCATCGAAGGATGGTGCAAGGGAGCATGGGATATGCATACAAGAATAAATGGAAGGAGCTGGAAGGTTTTTTTGTGTGTGTCGAAGTGCTCGCTCTTACCCTGTATTCTGTATTCCTTCTTTCCTAGACATGAAGGCTTCTGAGATGCTCACTGTACTGTTTGTTTTGGTGTGTTCAGGGAGATATGCAACTCTCGCAGGTGAGGTTACATAATTGCAGTCACACTAGTTTTTATGTGTGCATATTTACAGTGTTACACGAAAACTAGCCGGGTGATGTAGATATTTGCTTCCTGAGTAGACAATAAGCCAGAGGAAGCATGTATCTTCCTGCTCTGTTTGGACATCTTTTTAGACAGTTGCATGTTTCTTTTTTTTCAAATCATGTTTTGGCACTCTCCCCCGAGAATGGTGAGTTAGCCGTCATATACACAGTATATATAATCGGCTGAAATATTGTAATATTACTCAAACATAATTTTTACTTACATTATCGCTGTCTTGACCGTAGATGAAGGTGAAGAGGACATTTTACAGTGCAGCTGTGAGAACACATATGCTTGCGTAAACAACACCTGCTGGGGTCGCATTTGCTTCTACAGTTCGGTCTATGAGCAGGTAGTCAGGGGCTGTTTTCCCACCAGTGAGCAATGCCACGTGCCTAAAGTACCCGAAGTGTATTCCAAGTGCTGCTTCACACACCTCTGCAATGCAAACCTAAGTGTGCCTGAAAAAACAGGTAAGTCATTTTTTTAAAAACATCTTTTTAGCTCAGAAAACAGTTACTCGTTTTAGAGTTAATACAGAGATTCATTACTAAAATCAAAGAGACTTTTGCATCAGTTGGCCTGACATCTGTAAATTTTACTCTCTGCTGCCTTCTACTGTTATATTGGTGATTTACAGGGTTTAAACGTATGCTTGAGTTTTAGTTAGTGATTCCTCATATGTTTTGGTCATGTTAATATATTTCTAATCAAAATGCAAAATGTATTTTAGGATTGGAAATGTATTTTCTTGCCCTTTTTTATGCTATAATATTGTTTAAACCTTCAAATGCCAAAATATATAAAAAATCTGCTTAAAATGTTATATAAAATTTGAAAAATATATATCCTGCATATTATATTAGCTATATATGCTGCATTTAGCGTGTATACACACACACACATTTATATATATATATATATATATATATATATATACACATAAATTTACATCGCTATTTTTTTCAGTTGGCCTGGTACAGTGATGTTACTCTCTGTTGTGTCTGTTTCCAGTGGAAAAGTCCATCGGAGTGATTCTGCTGGTGGGAGTGCCATTGTTGGTGCTGCTGGTGTTGTCTATGGTAGCCTGTGGGCTCGTGTTGTGGCTGCGTACAAGGCGACAGCACCAAGACACTTCCATGCTCAAAGTCCCTAGTGGAGAGGACCCAGCATATGAGGTAAAACGGTACTGCTGGGTGGCATTCACAGCATATTTGTAATGAACAGGTCTTAATGATTATTATCTGATTTTTGTGCTCTTATTTACATAAGAAAAAAATTTCAGCTGTTTCGTGCACTCGAGAACGTCCACTATGGTTTCGGACACCACTAAAAATGGCTGTTCCCTCAAATAGTGCCCTATTTAAGGGTATAGGGGGCGATTTCGGACACAGCCCCTATATCTGACACAGCCCCTATATCTGACACACCCACTTCAGGTCTGGCAGTCTCCACTAATGATCTGATGAGCTGAATCAGGTGGGATAGATGAGGGAGACATACAAAATGTGCAGGGCTGGGGGTACTCCAGGACAGGTTTGAGAACCACTGTCATAGACAATGAGATTCAGTGGACAGAAAATGGAGTTTTCTACTGCTCAGATTTTACCTATGGAAAAAAATACCCTTGTAATCTCAAATATGTCTCACAATGTCATAAACTGTGCTTGAGATCCCAAAGTTTCTAATCAAAAGAGGAGAAATATCTGAGACAAAGTTAATTTGTTAATTGAAATAGAGTTGAGATCTTTAATTCAGTCTCCTGAGCAGCCTCTGAGCAAAATGTTCTGCTCTGAGTTGTGATTCAAATTGCGTGTGATTTTTCGCCTGGTCGGTAATCTAAGTGTGTCTACTTCTCCTTTTTAGGATATCTTTGATGAGTTTTGTACGTCGGGCAGTGGGACCGGCCTCCCTTATCTGGTGCAGAGGACCATGGCTCGACAGATCTCTCTGGTTGAATGTGTTGGTGAGAGAACATTCATCTAATTTCATCATCAACATCTCATTACACAATGCTGCATTGGCAGAGGTTGAAACAACTACAGGGTGATGCTATGAATCTAGGAGGTTGATATATGTCATGCTGCATCTTTTTTTTCTTTTTAAAGAGATTTTTTTAATTCTTTTTTCATACTGTTCAACATTGAGTTTGATTGAGTGGATGGTGTCATATTTATTGAAATGTACTTTAAATTTAAATACTTTAATATGTTAAATGCTACCATAATTTATTAAATATATTTTAGATTACACTCATTTAAATTATAATTATATTATTGTTATAACAAATGTATTATATTACAAATAATATTATAAAATTTTAAATAAGCGTAATTGTGGATTTAAATATATATTCTAATTATTATTATTACTTCTACTAGTAGTAGTTAGTAGTATTGTTGATGTTGTTGATTATAATACTATTAATTTACTATTAATAATTATTAATTAATTAATTAATTTGGTTATTAAAATGTATACTATTCTTATTTTTATTATTATTTATATAACCAGTAATATTACTATTCATACTATAAAAGGAATTTAGTGTAACTTGTGGATTGAAAGATATATTTTAAGCATTTTTTTTTATTATTATTAAATTTGTTTTAAAATGTGAAATACAATAATGCAGTAGTGCACTCATGATGGCTATACATCACTATACTATGCATCTAATTTCATTATTAATGTTTCTGACAGGTAAAGGACGTTATGGAGAGGTATGGAGAGGCACCTGGATGGGAGAGAGTGTGGCTGTCAAGATTTTCTCTTCTCGTGATGAACAGTCCTGGTTTAGAGAGACTGAAATCTACAACACGGTCCAACTAAGGCATGAAAACATCTTGGGTAAGTTCCACCCACACTGCATTTTTCATTACTTGTGTGGGAAGGTATCGTTCTGCGAGTACTGCTGCAGTCACAATATGTTCTAACTTACCCAAACATCACTTTTCCAATGAAGGAATTTAACAACGTTCGATTTAAAATGTAATATTTCTCTTACACATGTTCTCTGTCCGTCTATCAGGCTTCATAGCATCAGACATGACGTCTAAAAACTCGAGCACTCAGCTGTGGCTGGTCACACACTTCCATGAGTTGGGCTCCCTCTATGACTTCCTGCAGTACAGCATGCTGGACCCCGAGGGCTGTCTGCGCATGTGCCTGTCCATCGCCAGCGGCCTTGTGCACCTCCACACGGAGATCTTCAGTACACAGGGCAAACCGGCCATTGCACACAGAGACCTGAAGAGCCGCAACATTCTGATGAAGAGAAACGGCCAGTGCTGCATCGCAGACCTGGGTGAGAAAGTAGGACAAAAATAGACGTGTCTATAGCACATCACTCATTCCAAACTATATGTGATACAGAAATGAATGACTGCTCAAATTGTCCTGCTGGTTGAGGTGAGGTGTTCTGATTACCAGAATATCACAGAGGCTTTAAACCTGGTATGGGACACCTTTGTAATCATCTAGCAAAATACCATAGCAACCACCAGAAAAAAATAAAAAATATGCTAAAAACATTCAGTACACTTTAGCAATAGCATAACAATACCCTGGAAACCACCCAGAACACTGTAAGAACCACAAGAACACCTTTGCAACTGCATAAAACATGATTGTTTTTTTAACATAATCTGTCTTCTGTGTGCCCTCTCAGGCCTGGCTGTCATTCACTCTCAGTCTAATGACTATCTGGATGTGGGCAACAACCCCAGAGTGGGCACCAAGCGTTATATGGCACCGGAGGTTTTGGATGAGAGTATTCGTGTTGACGTTTTTGAGTCCTATAAACAAACTGACATCTGGGCCCTGGGTCTCGTATTGTGGGAGATAACTCGTCGAACTATTGTAAACGGTAAGATGGAGAAAATATTCAACTTCATTTGGTGGCACCACTGCTGTCCTGTGCTCTTGTGACTTGGAATTAATTTTAAATAAGTTTAAAAGCGATGCATACAGTATTGATACAAAAAACTAATATGCTGAGACTTATCAAATAATAATTGCAACATTCAGTGAAAAGTTCTTTGACTGTAGGATCTCAATGTTCTAACTAACTTTCGTTTTCTGTTGCTAAGCAACGATTTTCACCATTCTGATAGATGTGATAGACTTCTCTATTTATTTTTCCTCATAAGTTTCTTCGTCTTCCCCTCCATTCCTCCCTCAGTTTTTTCTCCATGGGTACGTCTGTCTCCTCTATCCACCCACGATTAGCGGCCCAATAATTATAAACAATCTTATCTGGTGTCAACACTCCCGCTCATGTAGTCCAGATGCGCTTGTTCTCTCTCTCTCTTTTCTTGCTCTCTCACACACACACACACTCACTTATTAAGAAGCACTTAATCAACCCTTTATATATAATTTGTATGTAATATGTACTAACTGTAAAACATTAGTCAAATGCACCTTTCTTGTAGTTGTAGTATAGGATATATGTATCAGTAAGATTTTTTTTATGTTTTTGAAAATAGTCTCTTTTGTTCACCAATGCTGCATTTATTTAACTGGGAATACAGTTTAACTGGTAATACGATTTAAATTAACTGTTTTTATTTGAATACATTTTAAAGTGTAATTTATTTTTATGATGGCAAAGCTCAATTTTAAAAAGCATTAATATTATTAATATTTTTGTGGACACTGTAATGCATTTTTTTCAGGATTCTTTGATGAATATAAAGTTTAAAATAACAGCATTTATTTGAAATAGAAAGCTTTTGTAACATTATAAATGTCTTTACTGTCACTTTTGATCAATTTAATGCCTCCTTCCTGACTTTAAGTATTAACTTCTATAATTTAAAAAAAAATCTTACAGGCTCCAAACTTTTTAAAGGTTAGTGTGTAAATATGCAAGCTACTAATTTGCATTTTTAAAACACTTCTTTATATAACTTCTGTTTTAAGTATAAAAATGCAACAAAAACAAAAAACTTTTTTAATGGTCTCACTGTAGCTTTTTACCCCATAATGTCAGCTGCCATAAGCTGCTCATAGACTCCCTGGATAATTTCCAGCCATCCTCCCACAGAAGTATTAGTACTGCCAACCTTCAAACTCCCAAACCACTGTTTTATAGATATGGTCAGAAGAGACTTTCAGTCTCAGCACACATCTGCATTTTTGTCAGTAAAAATTCAAATGCAATGTAGTCAGCAAATGTTGACAAAAACCCATAAAATCCCTTAATTCTGTGTTTTTCTCAGGGATTGTGGAGGAGTACAGACCGCCGTTCTTTGACGTAGTGCCCTCTGACCCAAGTTTCGAGGAGATGAAGAAAGTGGTGTGTGTTGACCAGCACAGGCCCAGTCTCCACAATCGACTACACTCTCATCCGGTGAGATACTCAAACATGCCAGAGATACAGACTCAATGACTCAGAAGACTTGGACTCTAGTCAGACGCTACACAAGGCTTTGCTTTGACAGCTGTAGTCTGGAGCAATTTATTAGGAAAGCATTAAATGTGTGTGGGACAAAATATTCTGTCAGTCTATGATGTCACTGAAAATAATCTTGTGGGCTTTAATTTTAGGCTTGCTGTACAGAGCTTATTTATTGCATATGCAACATAGAAAATGGATGGAAATTTACATTTATCCTGCTTAATGGCATTATCAAGACAGAGGAAAGTAGCTATTCAGCAGCCATGTGAAGAGCAGACTTGCAAGCTAGTCGCTAAATTTGTTGCAATTTGCATTTGAAAATAATTCTCCCTTTGAGTCCATATCTCTTGTTGAAACTGTTTTGCCATATTAGACTCTTATGTCTGCCACATACACATACTCCCTCCTACAATATATCTGCTCAGAAGAGAAATCCAAAAAAACACAAACAACTAACAGTTTTGAAAGACAAATCCGATATGACGCATATTTCAAAGCTAGCATGACACATCAACACAGTTCTCACAAAATCCTATTGTTTTGTCTCAGAAGTGGGTGAATTTGGAATTGAAGTTGAAATACAGTGAAATCTGGGTCACTTCTTTGTGTCTATTTTGGTAGTTTGATTTGAAATGAACTCCAGTCACTTATATATTCATACATTTGCACACCGAGAGGAACATGTGACCATCAGAAATGACAAAACAAATGATTATCTACTCTTTCTATATGTTTTTCTGTCAAGATCCTGTCTGCAATTGCGAAGATTATGAAAGAGTGCTGGTTCCAAAGCCCTTCAGCTCGACTCACTGCTCTGCGTGTGCGAAAGACCCTCTCCAAACTGGACCAGGACCATGACTACGACATAGACAAGCTCAAACTGGACCTCTAGAATAAACCCCCTGCCATGCATTTCCAAGGAAGTTAAATTCTAATGGACCCATATGATATATTTATCCATATGAGTACTTTCAGACTCTTTTAATGTGCTTTTCAAGCTTCTTGTCTTAAGGCTCCACTGAACATGGTTTATCTTATCATGACGTTGGTTCACTGTGGGAAGTCGAGGCCATAACTCTGCAGTTAAATGTTTCTCCTCAAATATATCCACACGACTGCTCTTCTAGGACCTGCATATTTCAACACGGTGACTCATTTGTTACTGAAATTAAAACAAGGTTGATAAACCCACAAAATTCTTTTCAATATAGTGAGAAGGTTTTTCGGCCAGGATGTGGGTCATTCTGGACTTCCTCACTGCGGTGTTTCCTGAAATTCTTAACTTCCTAAACATGACTCTAACCTAGAAAGGTTGGCACATGCTTTAGACTGTTTGTTGCACTTATTTTTTTTGTAGCTGTTTTTGGTTCCATGAAAGACTTTGAAATGAATTTGAATCTTTTTAAGAACAAGAACTGCACCAAGTAATCATTCAAACTTAGGACATATTATTAGAGTGCACTTTTATAAATTGTTAAATATTTTTTACAAGATCAAAATTACAATCACATTACTCTAGCTGTAATATATATTTTTTTATAATGTACAATATATTTGCTTTTTCAAAAATAATTAAAAAAAAACTGTATATACAAGTTATTTTGCACAAAATGTCTATCGTTATTTTCACTCCAAATAATAGTATTTAAGTATTAATAAAACTTCAGTATACTGAAGCAGACTGAACATTTCTCTGCATCAAAGGGGTCTTCAACAGAGGGACTACCAATTATTGATAGATCTCAAGCAAATGTTTGTAGTGGAAAAAAATTAAATACTGATAAAGTGTATAAATAAATACATGATCATGTTTATAAATAAACAAACAAATAATCACAAGAAGCTAAATTTCACTTAAATGGGTCATTGAACATTAACAGTTTTGTCCACTAGAAAAAAAACTTTTGTCCACAAGAGGGCATCATTAATTGCTCTTTCCGCCCACCCCAAAGTGTAACATTGGGTTCTTGTTGCCTTTTCTCTCAGCACAGCAAACTTTGCCACAGCCTGATCTGGTTAATGAATACAGTGTCACTTCAGTAGTCCTTAAGGAGATATAAGGGATCTATTTACTTTTGCCTCAATCCATTTCTTATAAACCATAAACAATGTGTATCCTGTCTTACAAGCCATGCAATCTACACTCTTAAAAATAAAGGTGCTTCAAAAGGTTCTTCAAGCGATCTAACACACGACGTAACAGTTACGTAACGTATTCGTAATTTTTGGTAATTTTGTGATTTACCAACAGACAACGTAACCACGACGTCGTATGCTCGTAATTCCATTACACTCTTAAAAATAAAGGTGCTTAAAAGGTTCTTCACAGCGATGCCATAGAAGAACCATTCAGACAAAGGTTCTTTAAAGAACCATCTCTTTCTTACCTTTTTGTAATCTGAAGAACCTTATTTCGCCACAAAGAACCTTTTGTGAAACAGAAAGGTTCTTCAGATGTTAAAGGTTCTTTATGGAACCATTTAGACAAAAAGGTTCATCTATGGCATCGTGAAGCACCTTTATTTTTAAGAGTGTAGCAATTGTTAGAATTGTTGTTCGGCATGAGAGACAATAAAAGACCCGATACCCCTCGGGAACCACCAAGACACACCTCTGTGTTGTTGAACAACATTTCACAGATACAATACTGAATGCATCCTTCACTATCATGTTTCAGACAGACCTATATTTACCCGGTGCAAACAGATATCTCACGTATCTTATTCATAGAAACGAGACTGCCAAATGGGTGTCTTTCCAGTATAAATCCCTTCCTACGCACACCGACACACAGAGAAGGCCAAAAGAGCAGATGTTCCACTGATTGATTTTTCCGTACATTTCTGCCATATGTACATTAATTGACAGTCACCACTGATAAGCTACCACTAAATATTGTAGAAGCTTAATTTGCTGTAAAGTTGCTTTGCAATGATTTGTATCGTGAAAAGCGCTGTACAAATAAACTTGACTTGACTTGACTTGATTGATGGATATTTATAAGATGTTTATCTCGTTTTTTTTTTTTTTTCCTGAGCCAAAGTTTCCCTTCAGCATGTCGTGTTTGTCTTGCTGTCAGACTGTATGGCGGAGTGAGAGGATGGGCATTGATTTCTGTCTGCCTGTTTATCTATATCTGCGCCCTCGCTATATCCATCTGTGGAGGAGCACAGAGAGGGGGCTTTACTGGAGATAATTTCCCAACTCTGCCTGTCCAGTCAGACAGACAGAGGGTTATTTTTAACAGGAGCACAGTGGCTGAGTAGAGTATCAATGCCCCGCTCTGGTAGGCCAGACTCCTCTGAAATGGTGCCCTTCTATCAGCTGTGACATTTTTACACAGAGTGGACCCATTCCACAAGCCTTTGTTTGGAAAACTCGGATATGAACGCCCAGCTGAAATATGTGGATTGATCATTGAAAGATATGACCCCACTTTATATACAATAGACAGCCAGGGGCCAGATTAGTATGCAGTCTAGCGAAGGCAAAGAGGTTAATGGTAACAATAGAGGTTTAAGACTGCAGGCCGCAAGACTAAACGCTTTGTGTTTGACCTTTGCATCGAGAGCAACTTGAAAGGACTTTCAGTGTAATTAGATTAGAATTTGTACATCATTCTTTATGTACCCATACGGCTTAATGCACTAACCGAGAGTCTCCTCGTGTCATGTGGCCATTAAGAGGACAAATACTGAGTGCATCAAATGTCTCTTTATTCCTCAAAATTAAAATCACAAGTTCTCCTCTGCCCTGCTATTTAGAGGAAGTAAACATCCTGAGGTCCTGGCAGAAGCCAGAGCGCTCCTATAGGAATATGTTTGACTTATTTCCCTAAAGACGCAGTTTCCTTTTTCATACTATGAAGTCAAGAACTAATCAGTGATTTGTTATGGGGGTCTGAGGTCTCTTAAGCTTAGCCCATACTGTGGTTTTTGTGGGAGTCCTGAATGCTTTTCGTGCTGCTCACAGGGGTTCTGTAAGCTCCTTTGGATCACACACATCGCACAATGTGGGTCCAGCTCGCAAAGGTAACTTGGCTCCGGAGTCATATTATTAATGCTGAGACTCTGGAGAATAGTGAACACCTCCTGCTGGATCACTACTAAGATGTGATAAAAAAAAAACGGCAAATATCTCACTGCTTTCATACACGTCAGACCTTAAAATATTCTCATCAAAAAATAAGAAATGTTCTCTCATTAAACAACCATTCTCTGATAATGAATGTATGCATGTACAACACATTTTATGATAACTGTTACATAAAATATTTCCATGATCTGGATGCATTTTTCCCATTCAACTGGATTGTTTTATTTACTCATCACTGATTCTTGTAACATGAGACATAACATTCTACCAAACAATTCTATCTGCCCTAAGTTTAAAAATTTTTTAATTAATTTTTATTCTCCGAATTACAACACTTTTTAAATTCAATTTAAATATTTTTATTAAAATTTTAAATAAATTTTAATAAATAAGAAAATACAGCAGAAAAAGCTCCTGCAATTCATAAATGTGTGATATAACAAATATGGTTATTTTATCAACAACATTAGGTTTCCTGTCAGACTGTGATTGATTGTCCATTGATGAACCTGAAAATCAGTTTTAAACTATTCTATATTCTCAATCAATCATTCATTGAAGTGAATTCAAGATTATTTATATAATATTACATTGTTTTTTATTTTAATTCTAATATTATCCATAATAGATATAAAAAAACGTGGTATCTGCCAGCGTTGACCCACATTTTGAGCAGACAACGAAAAACTTCCTATGAACATTATATAATAATTATTCACTTCATAAAACGAGTGATCGTGTTTAGTAAAAACTGAGGAGGTAAATATAAAGGAGTTGTTTTTAATTAAGCTGTTCCACAAGTTCAAAGTTATGTTTGGGTGCAGTCTCCTTATTTATTTGTTTGTAAAAAACACACTTTTTTTAAAAAAAAAAAAAAAAAAAAAACAGTGTAAATACATCTGAACATTCTGAACAGATTAGTCCAAAATAATTCCTTGATTTATAATCTTTTTTTTTTTTCCTGATTTGTAAACTGTTTTGACCCAGTGTTCAAGAATCAGTGTTACTTGCCTTAATTTGTCCATGTTAAAGCCACAAGCTAAATGTCTGGAACATAACATATGACACGGAATAAATAAAAAACAATCCTGATGAGACCTCAACTACAGACAGGACCATCGGGCCAATTCACAAATGAGTCCTTGTAAAGAGACATTTCACCACAACAAAGGAGCACAGGCAGCGGAGCCCTCCCCTTTAAAACTAGGCACACCCCTTTAACCCACTATTGTCTAGCCGAGCCTGGCAGGCGGTGTATGGTTGGTTGGTTTGTGGTTGTGTTGGAAGTCTCGCTCGCTTATCAATATCACACACAACGAACGCTTTAATGCTAAGAGATGGGAATCTTGCAGTCATGGTTCCACGACGAACTGCTGTAGCGCTGCTCGCCCTGTGTGGATTAATAGCGGTCGGCGATGGTGAGTCGGGTGTTTGTGTGTGTGTCACCCCTCTCTGTGTGTATTTATTTATTTGATAGGCTGCTGGTGTGTGGAGAGAGAGAGTGTGTGGCCAGGCTGTGCTGTGCTGGACGGGGCAGCCTGGCGCTCATCATGGCGCTGTGTCTGGGGTTTGTAAACCAGTCATCTGTACCGTAAATCATTTCTTATTCATATATAACTAGTGTTGTATTTTGAATTGCGCTTCATTCGCGGAACATAATAGATGTTTTTATATATAATTTTTGAGGTTCGTCTATTAAACGCGTCAGTGTTTGTTGTCCCTTTTTTAATATAGCCAAATACATTCTCTCTCTCTCTATACACACACACACACACACACACACACACACACACGTTTCCCTGTTAACATACAGGCCTGCTGTCCCTAATAATTGAAATGCATGTATTTACGTTATGTTGCAACTATTAAATACTACAGTGAATTATGGCATGTATGTTCAAACCTCCAGTATTTCACACGACTTCACATAACTGACGTCAGATGTTGCGAAACTTACATTTATTAACCTGCAACGCCAAACTTCCCCGGTGGTTTGCACGTTGTGACGAGCCACGTCCTCCTATTCTGTGAATCGCGCTTCTGTTTCGAATCTTTTCAATTAATCGTTTGAACCGGTTCACATTCACACTACCGGTCTGAAGGATTTGTTCGCGAAAAGGAGCGCTTCTCCAGTTTCGAACTCACTGACTCGTTGAATCGAACCGGGAACAGTCTCTTTCGGATATGGTCGATTCGTAATTTAACGAAAAACGAGCCGAGTGTTTGTGCAGAATGTACCATACCAGAGTGTCAGGAACCACATAATGACGTAAATACGTCATGACGTCAAATGATAGGTATTCGATTTAGAAAAAAATGTTCCGAACAAGCGATTCGTCATGACCTAAATAAATGGCAGAATCGTTTATTTATTCGATTTTCTTGCTAATTTTTACTTCAAATAATAAAAATAATGTTAATAATAATTAAAATTAAAAAACTGAAAATATACAAGGTGTTGGTAAATCCTCATGATTATTTTTTTTACCGTGATGCTTTACTGCCATCCATTGTTGATGACTGACATGTTTCTATGATTTTTCATTTTATACAGATTTATTAACAGAACTTTTAAGTTCAGAGAAATGTTCGAAAGAACAGATTCACAGAAATGAGTCTAACTTCCCATTACTAGTTGTGACATGTAACTCAACATGAATTTCAGTGATTCATTTAAAAATGACCGGCCTTGTTTGTAGTTACATGTTAGGTTATATCATAAATGTTGCTGACAGTACATCGTTTGCTGTGGTATACCCTGTTTACAAAACAGTCTGGTGGTGTTTCTTAACATTAAACAGCATTGTGAATTTAAACTGGCGAAAACAGTCCTCATTGACCCCATTGTTATATATTGCGAAGCCATAAGGCCTAAAATATTGCCAATTTCTTAATGTATTCACATACTTTACTGGTTCTAGAAAACTAATGTTGTGTTTTATAACCCCTGGCAAGTACATATTTCTTGTAGAGCACAATGGGAAGCTGGTCATTCAGCAAGTTCAGACTCAAGTCAGATTTGGAGTCTGGTCCTTTGTAATGGAAATGTGGGCAATGAGCCCTATTCAGTGGCCTGTCAAGGGAGTCTGCCTTTCTTTTGTATGGCCAAACTGATGGTGGTTACATCCACAGCACAAATAAACATGTCTGTGGTTGCATGGCCCAGCACGATAACAGTTTATGCTTGGAAACACTAGTGAGATTTGCTGGAAGGACAAAACTGTGCAAATCAGTGTGATGTTGTTCAGATGATTTTGAGAAGTCAACAAAATATAGTATGAAAACTGGCCCACCTTTTTGTAGTGTGATCATAAATAGAATGCTAATGAGTGTGGATTTTTTTGGTCTTTAAAATTTGAAATTACATTTTTCCCCATTGCTGTGCTCCAGACATATCACTGAAGACTGTGTAATGAAATTTAACACAGCAGGGGCCATTTTCATCTACGATTTGAAAAAGTTCAGCAATCTGTGATTTCTAATTGGTGACTCATCTTTTTCCAAGAAGCATCGCTCCCACTGTTTGCAAACGGTTGTGTTGCACAAAATACTGCCAAATGCTCTAATAGAACTTGATAGGAAATGCTAAACAGACAGATCCCACCTGTAGTACGTCTGACTGGGTCAGCTCAATGTCAGACTCTACAGTGAGCGGATTGTAGCGCGAGAGGCGCCTTCGGGCTGCCAGTGATGGGTTTGTACAGCTGCCGGTAGTTGGACGCAGACTAGTGGAAATGAAACAGATTGGCGACTCCAGCCATGTTATGGTAATTATTCCACTGAGGTACTGCTGAAACCAAGCAATTTAAGGCGATTTGGTGTTTCAAGGGTCTGGACTTTCAGTTTGTCTGCCTAGTTTCTCAGTAAGAATGCAACCAGTGGATCCTCTGCAGTGAATGGGTGCCGTCAGAATGAGAGTCCAAACAGCTGATAAAACCACATAATAATAATATATAATAACCACAAGTAATCCAAATCACTCCAGTACATTAATTAACGTCTTGTGAAATGAAAAGCTGTGTGTTTGTAAGTCTTTCTCCAATGAAAAACTCATCTCATCTGAAGCAGGAGAGAAATATGCACAGAACAAGCACCGTTTACAAGCCAAAACAGTTCTAAACAAGTATGTTGGTGGATTTTGATGTGAGAGGACAACAGGGGATGGACTATTTCACTGTGTTAATTGATGGACTGAAGTCGCATGGATTACTTTTTGATATTGTGATGTTTTATCAGCTGCTTGGACTCTCATTCTGACGGTACCCATTCACTGCAGAGCATCCACTGGTGAGGGTGATGTAATACAAACTTTCTCCAAATCTGTTATGACGAAGAAACAAACTCATCTACATCTTGGATGGTCTGAGGGTGAGAATTATGATTTTTTTTTTATTGTTGGATGTTAACTCTTACTTTAATTGTAAGCACATTTGTAATTTTAGCTGTTTATTAACGCATTAAATTATAATAGAAATGTTCTGAACCTCAAAGTCTCTGAACTTGTGTTGTGTAGGCAGGAAGGAGCAGACATTTGAAGCCCGTATCGCAGGAGAGCTCCAGGTGCTGTGAGAGTGCTGTTATGGAAATGAAAAGGAGCACATTAAGCCATATTTTGCATGTGTGTGCTTGTATATAAGATCAGAGAACGGAAAGTGTAGCAAAGAAAGATATGTGGGTTCATGGGGAGTGTGCGTGTGTGCGAGCATGTGTCTGGGGAGGCCGGCTGCTGGGGTTGAGTCCACGGTCACAGCCGACTGAAGCTGGTCTCCGCTTCATTAATGACCTTGCTAATGACCCGAATGGCCGGCGGGCAGTAACGATTACATTGAGAGACAGACCTTTGTGTGACCTAGATTATAATGCATGTTCAGAAATAGTACATTTAACTGACTTTTTTCCCTTAGTACTAAAAACATTATCTTGCGGCATTTTTATTATAAGCTTAAAGGAATAATTTTGTCATTGTTTACTCACCCTCATGTCGTTCCAAACCCATATAGCATTATTTTTCCATCAGACATTTTTTAAATATCGTTACTCAACCATATCTGACCTAGGTCTATCAAGTTCCAAAAAGTTCCATAAAAAAATATAAAAGCAATGTGGCTTTTTAAGAATTTTCATTTTCAAGTGAAAACACATTTCTATTACAAAAGATCACTATTCATCACTATTCTATTCATCAAAGAATCTTGGAAAAAATAATATCAGTTTGCATAAAATTATTAGGCTGTTTTCAACATGGATAACAATAAGAAGTGATTCTTAAGCACCTAATCAGCATATTAGAATGATTTCTAAAGGATCATGTGACACTGAAGAATAAATGACATTTTAAAATAAATAAAAATAATACTATTTTACTGTATTTTTTAAAATCAAATAAATGCAGCATTGGTGAGCACCATACTTTAAAATCTTAGACTGTAAACTTGTGAATGGTAGTGTATCTATTTAAAACTAAAGCACCTCTTATACTTGTCAGAAATAACTTTTTTGTCGGATGAAATGGTTTGTGGCTGCTGCCCTTTGAAAGAGAAAAGACTTTGAATGTTTTCAGGGGGAAAGAGAGATTCATGCCTCTGGACCAGATGAGTAATTTGACCATGAGGGTTCTGAAGAAGCTCCCCTTCCTTTCACTGCATTGATTTTGTGAGTGTAGTTCGACGTGTGTTTTAGAGTGCATGTCTGTGTGAGTGTGTGTGTGTGCTCTGTCTGGTGGCGTCGGCATGTCTTAATCAGCTCACTGTCTGGGTGCTCAATGGATCTCATTTCAGCTCTATGCATCTTGGGTAACTGCACTCTCTCAGTCTGCCCGCTCTCAGTAGCCCCTGGCATCCTGCTAGAAGAGGAGGATGATGGGCTTTCATTATCCAGAGGAGGTGAAGCAAGAGATAATGTCTCCAACGAGAGTTGAGCACCGCTCCGGCTGTCCATTTGTAATAGATCTGAGAGGACTGCTTGTGTTGCAGGGGGCAATATTTGCCTCTGAGTGTTTAAACCACAAACCCTGTGAGCTCTTAATCCTCACTTTGACCCCAACATGGAAAGCTTGGAAAGCTGGTACTCCTGAAGGAGAGGTTGTGAAATTTGTGCTCCATAGTGAAGGCTTTAGTCACAGTACCGGTAATGTGAAGTTGTTTGCGGCTTCAACGTTGACTAAAGACTTCCCATGAGCCCCGCTCTGATCAGCCAAGCAGACTGTTAATGGCAACGATTTCATTCACATCTTCCCGCAATGGTTTTCATTTCCTGTCTGAACAAGAATGGAATGATAGGAACTTCACACTGGCAGTGAGATTTTGATGTCGTCCTTTACTGAATTCCCCCTTTTCTGTTGGGTTAAGCCAAGTCTAGACTAGGGTTTTAATGTCTGTCACAGCTAGTCTCACGGCCGAAATCCCGTCACAGCTGGGGGTTCTGTAAATCGCCCTCTGTTACCTCTCTGTGTTCTGTCCTGGCATATCTGTTTCACCGGCAGCTCTTAAAAGCATGTCAGGGGAGTCCCCTACCCCCCAGCCACTCTAGCAGTAACTCCCCCATCCTCCACCGCACAACCCACTCCCATCCTTTGTCCAGACACAGCCCGCTCAATCCCTCCTCATGTCCCCTTAATCTCCACACAAAGAGCCAGTGTAAGACCACCAATTATGCACATACAAGACCTCGCTTGGCCTGAACCGCTCACGCTCCCTCGCCACAGGCTTGGAGCCACGCACGCCATGTTGTCGACTAGCTTTGCATAAACGTTGATTGGTCTTTTTGAAGTTTCGCAGACTGTACTGCAGGAATTTGAGTGGAAAGAGTGTTGGGTTTCTGTAGCGCAAGTGATTTAGTGTTTGGTAATGATGTGGAAGGTTTGGTTTAGTTAGTTGCATTTTTATCATTTTATCAATAAGCGATTTAGATTTAGACCCCTTAACCTACCCCCAAACCTAAAAAGTCATGATAAATAAAGTAAAAAATAAAAAGTAATCAGAAATGTATTTCTCATGATTATGCCTTAATATTTTAATATCAATTTGACTTTATCTTATTTTTTACTTTGAGGTGGAAAGAAGCATAGCTATCAGATTTCAAAAGTTTTAAAAATGGCTTGTTTTAAGTGTAAGGTACCCAAAAATGCTCCTTTAGGTTAAAGTCACAATGAAAGTAGCAACATATCTTTTCTTCTGAATTGTGACGTACATCCGATTGTAACCGATTATAACAAAATAAAAGTTGTAGGGCTGGGCATTCAGTCCAGTTGATGTTGAGATGTGGGTGTTGCACTTGGACAGACTGAATGATTCTGTGAAGTCCGCCATTCATCACCAGAGAGAAGTCTGTCATTTTCACGAGAAGATTGAGTTATGACACTTTCATTAAAAATTATGAGGTCAAAAAATGAAATAAAATGTATGCACATGGAGGAATCATTCATATTAAGATCTATAACATGCATTTGCAAAATAGCTAAGGAAAGTTTAATGCCGACTTTAAATTGTATGTTTAACAATACCAAAGCGTTACGTTCAGTGAATACACAATATTCGTAAAGTACACAATTTCACACATAGATTGTCGTGTAGTGTCCTCTGACATAATTTAGTGTAGTATGTTGTTGTCACAAGTTATTGGCATGTTAATGTGTATCATGACTCTTTACATCATAGAGAGGAAATGCAGAGTTCTTTTCTTTTTTTAAATGAAAAACATGTTGGAATATGAAATATGGCCACAATATACATGCATATAATGGTTGACTTGAAGAGGCTTTGTGATTTCATGAGCTGTTGGACTGACATAAAAACCAGTGTTGTGTTGTGCAGTTGTGACGTCTCTGGAATCCTTATTGTTTGATGGAGACTTTAAAAACTGAAGTGTGTAATTTCTGTGTCACCATGCAGAACTGCAAAAATAATTATTGTTTTTTAAAACAGGTTTTCCCGAACACTCCCCTCATCTTTCATTAGTCGACAAAACCGATAGCCCTGCCCCCAAATCACACCATTATGCTCAAATTGAACAGTTTTGATAGTGCAACAGTAAAATTTTGGGGGGGTAAATCAGCCTACAAATGGTTACTTATAGTTGTCTCTGCATATTAGATTTGTGGCATAATGTTGTCCCTCAAGCAGAAATTTAGGTTATGGTGAGGCACTTACAATGGTATAGTTAATGGGGCTGTTTGAAAGTGATGCGTTAAGTAATATAAAAACACTTCCAATTAATCTTATAAAACTTGTGTAATTTGTTCTAGCCATTTTTGCTGTAATTTTAGAGTTTTAGGAATTATGTTGCCATGACCACGAAATTGTACAATTGGATATAACTTTACACAAAAAGGGTTAGTAAATGATTGTTTTTCACGTTATACGCATTTTGTTTACGACTTGTGGCATCTTGTATGTTAACATTGAAAGATTGGCCCTAAGTGCCTCATTGCAACCCAGAATTTTACTTTTTTTAAACAAAAGGAGGGACAAGTAGAAATAAATGTTTGTGCTAATCAACATTATGCCTCTAGTGCTGTTGATTGAGCAACTTGTACTGAACCCGGAATATTTCTTTAAGCGTTTTAACCAAAACATTACACACTTCAGCTGTAAGTATAGTTATCCTGATTGTGATTAATGTGATATCTACATTGCATTTTCTCAGACCTCTTTAGAAAGAGACTATGAGGCAATTACGGTCATTCTATTTGCTGCCCAGTGATTTAATGATATCGTGTGTACTCCATTAGAGGGTTATTATGGCACCGGGTTGTTTTTCTCTCGCTATCAGGGCCTGGTTACCTCCGTGTAATCTGCAGGAAATTCCTTGTGCATGTGAACTTCAGTTGACTTGGATCCGCTCCACTAACGGTTACTGGCAGTGTCTGTTAGATCACAGCCTTTATAAGATTTATAAAGAGTACACAAACACTCTCTCACACTCCCTCTCTTGCTCTATGACACTTGACACATACACACCCCCACACAAATACACACGGTTTAAAAGCGAAGTTGACGCTTGTTCAGGAGGGTGTGGTTCTGCCACTTGCATGTCATGAGTTGTGCAATAAACCTGTGTGCGAAAAACTGTGGGAGGAAGTGTAGTGAGTCAGATCAATTAAGTGTGTGTGGAGCGAGATGAGTGACAGTAGGACTACAAAGTAAAAACAGAGGCCTGAACATGTGGGAAAGGCAAAAGAAAAGCAGTGAAATGAGAAGAGAGGATTAGAATAGAGCGTTCTTGACAGGGACGCCCAGAAAAGACTGGGCATTTTGTCCCTTGGTGGGCCCTGTTGTGATCAACAGTCAAGCGTCTGAAGTCCTGTTATTTTAAAACCACTGCAATTTGTCTTGAGTGGCCTGCCATTGTATGTGGCTCAGATAAAATCAAGGGCGCCGGTGGAGTATGAACGCCACCCCTCATGTCATGACCTCGGTCACCCTCAGCAGTCTGAGTGCCAGCAGTCAACACATCCTGTCTGAGTTTCTGATCTGTTGAAGAGACACAAAAATACATAATGGTGATGATAGTTCTAAAAAAAAGGTACAAAAAGGTGAGATGGTCGTCCAACATGGTGACTATTTGAATGCCCCTGACGATTAAGTATATAGTTTATTTATGCCCTCAGGCTTTTAAGGTTATGGTGTAGGCAATATGAAAACAAAAAGGTACCATGATGTTATCATGTTTTTTAGGTGTTACCATGGTAGTCTTAACATTTTGTACATTAATATTATAGATTATTGCATTTACATGGTACTCCAAGGTTCTTAAATGGTCTTACCATCTGTTACTGCTGTGCCATGTACTTCCACTGTATTTTTTTTTCTTATTTTCGAAAGTCAATGGCTGGAACGGAATATATTTGCTAAATATTTGCTAAAACTCATGTGACATGAATGTCAGAAGATTTATTTTTAGATATGTCATCAAGGTGAAAATGTCAATTATACTTGCGTGTGCTTGCATTATCGCAGTAGCTTTGTCCGTTTCTGAACGTGGCAGCTGGGCTGAAGTTTTGTTTCAAATACATGTAATGCACTAATGTAATTCATGTAATGCAAAAGAATATATAAGTCAGCTTGCAACATTCAGTGTTCATATAAAGAGAATTTTTAGAATCTGAAATCAGACTGGATTCATTCCAATTGATGGAAATTAGTGCATGTAAACACAGTGGTCTCAAGTTAGTGATGTACAGAAAAATTGGTCGATATTTAGAGTTTTCCGGCATCTTGTTAACCATGCCAAGCTGCTTCACCACAACCTTGCCAATAGAAGATATACAGCTTTGAGTTTTAGATATTTTAGTGAACTGAGTATATATTTTGTAAAAGAAGTACTTCTCTAAGTGATCAGACAATAAAAAGGGTGATTAAAATCCTACAGACCAGCATTTCTTGGCCATTCTGACGCCAAAGCCCCCCTTTGTTTGAGATTATTCTAATAAATAATAAACCATTTTAAGACTTATTGCCTTTCTGTTTTAAGTACAATAAATATCAACGTTCAGTTGGATTTGATTACACTGTTGATTCTACTACCTCTTACATGTCAAATCTAATCATCTTGCTCATTATTTATTGCAAACTGAGTTCTATGACTGTGCAATAATGCAATAGTCTGTGAAAGTGTTTTGCTGATATAAAGCTGCTGCAGTGGGGGTCTGAATCATGCCGTCCCATGCCAGCTTCTGCTATACACAGTCTGTTTGGGTTCATCTGCAGTGGCAGATTCAGTTTCGTGTTACGCAGTTTGGTAGGGAACTGAACTCTGCATGCAGTGCCTCTGTCTGAGTTACCTTGCTCAGTGATTCCTTATGTCCTTATGTCTTGCTTGCCCTCTGGTGGATATTTTGAGTTGGCACAGATCACTTAAAGCATCCACTGAAGGAAGAAGTGAATACATCCTCATATGACATTGCAGTTATTTAGAGTCATATTTTAAACGTTCATCTCTCTCTTCTTCTCTCTAGCTCTTAAGTGTAATTGCACTGCCTGTGAGAGCAGTGGTTATGTGTGCGAGACTGATGGGGCCTGCATGGCCTCTACGTCCTACATCAAAGGTCAGGAGGAGCAGCAAGTTCGGATCTGCATCCCCCATGTCAGCCTGGTACCACCCGGACAGCCCATCTACTGCTTGAGCGCCAAAGGCCTGCTCAACACGCACTGCTGTTATACGGACTTCTGCAACAGTATCAACCTCCAGATTCCCAGCGGTAGGAGTACAGGCCAAATACACTACCGTTCAAAAGTTTCGGGTATTTATTTTTTATTTTTTTAAAGATTTGTTCAATTATTTAAATATTGCATTTAATTCTATAATTAGAATTGTAAAATGAATACTTTTATTCAGCAAGGATGCATTAAGTGACAGTATAATATTACAAAATATTTCTATTTAAAATAAATGCTGTTCTTTTGAACTTTCTATTCAAAAATTGTTTCCACAAAAATATTAAGCAGCACAACTGTTTTCAACATTGATAATAAGAAATGTTTGAGCAGCAAATCAGCATATTAGAATGATTTCTGAAGGATCACTGGAGACTGAAGTAATGGCTACAAAAAAATTAGCTTTGCCATCACAGGAATAAATTACATTTTAAAATAGAAAACAATTATTTTAAATTGGAATAAAATTCCAAAATATTACTGTTTTGACTGTATTTTTTATTTTAAAACTTTTGAATGGTAATAATTATATATAGATGCTATATCGTTTAGCGGCCAAAATTGAATATTTTTATTTTGCTTAGTATTTTTTTATTTATTTATGTATTTAGACAAAATTGTATAGTTTTAATACTGACCATTTATCATGAAAATAATTATCTGCCTATTATCAGTATTGAACAGAATTTTTATATATGTTCATCCGGGTCCAACCTGTAAAGTGCATTTTACTCCTCTCTTTCAGGGATTCCTGAAGGTAAAGGGGACAGTTGGGGTCCTGTAGAGCTGGTGGCAGTGATAGCAGGCCCGGTCTTCCTCTTTTGCTTGCTGCTTATCGTGGGAGTGCTCGTTTTCCAGCACCACCAGCGCAACTATAACCATCGGCAGCGACTCGACGTTGAGGATCCGTCCTGTGATCATCTGTACTTGGCCAAAGACAAGACCTTACAGGATCTCATCTTCGATCTGTCCACCTCCGGTTCAGGATCTGGTAAGCTGCACCTCTGTCCTCCTCCTCCTCCTCCTGCGTGCGTGTAGTGTTTTGTTTGTGTGCTAATGAGTTTTCTCATTGCAGGCCTGCCCTTGTTTGTTCAGCGAACGGTGGCCAGGACAATTGTACTGCAGGAGATCATAGGTAAAGGTCGCTTTGGGGAGGTATGGAGGGGGAGATGGAGAGGAGGGGATGTGGCTGTGAAGATCTTCTCATCCAGAGAGGAACGCTCCTGGTTCCGTGAGGCTGAGATTTACCAGACCATCATGCTCCGTCATGAGAACATCTTGGGCTTCATTGCTGCTGATAATAAAGGTAATGAGTATTTGTCACTGTATTGACCCAAATAAATCATTAAAATAAATATTTAACAAATAGTTCATAATTATTTTTAATAAATAGTTAAGTAATGAAATTGTTAGTTAATAAATATTTTTATGATTAATGTTTATATAATATTGTAATTGTTTAAATATCTATCTATCCATCTATCTATCTATCTATATTACATATAATTAAATTGATATATTGTTTAAACATTTAAATTGTAATATTTTAATGTTAAAATTATATATAATATTATAATTATTTAAAATAATTAGTCCTATCTATCTATCTATCTATCTATATTACATATAATTAAATTGATGTTTAAACATTTATTTTTTTAATATTTTAATGTTTATATAATACATAATATTGTAATTATTTAAAATTAACTATCTATCTATCTATCTATCTATCTTTATTACATATAATTAAATTGATATATTGTTTAAACATTTAAATTGTAATATTTCAATGTTAAAATGATATATAATATTATAATTATTTAAAATAATTAGTCCTATATCTATCTATCTATCTATCTAGTCTCATATAATTACATTTATATTAAATTACTTAATTTTTAACATTTTAATGTTCATATAATATTATATAAATATTGTATATTATTAAAATAATTTAAGTAATCATATATAACATGATTACTAATAAATGTTTTGTACACTGATCAAGCATATAAAGAGAGTGATTTCTTTCATCCCTACATCTCTTTGAATATTCATGTCTGTTTCTTAGACAATGGCACATGGACACAGCTGTGGCTGGTGTCAGACTATCATGAACATGGCTCATTATTTGACTATCTCAACCACTACTCCGTCACAATCGAGGGGATGATTAAGTTAGCACTGTCAGCGGCCAGCGGCCTGGCACATCTGCACATGGAGATCCTGGGAACACAGGGTAATTGTGAATTTGATACGTCAGCCTATCTGAACTGTAAAATCTCTCAAATCCTGTACTCAAAAAAAACTAACTCAATCATGATGGTCTCCTTCCTCAGGGAAACCAGGCATTGCACATCGTGACCTCAAATCTAAAAACATCCTGGTGAAAAAGAATGGTACTTGTGCCATAGCAGATCTGGGGCTCGCTGTACGGCACGAGTCCATCACTGATACTATAGACATCGCACCTAATCAGAGGGTCGGCACCAAAAGGTACATCTATTGCCAGTTCAGTTAACAGCTGCTTTATGTCAATTTAACTATAAAGGTAACTATGAAAACTGCTTTACCTGATATGAATTTATTCTGTCTTTTAGATATATGGCCCCAGAGGTACTAGATGAAACGATCAACATGAAGCATTTTGATTCTTTCAAGTGTGCTGATATCTACGCTTTGGGACTGGTATACTGGGAGATTGCACGACGGTGTAATGCTGGAGGTGAGGAAAAAGGAGCTTAAATGACCTTCCACCCACAGTATCTTAACAAATGTGATTAATATCAGTGCTTTCACTGGCTGTAGGTGCCATAGAGTTTTGGGGATTGTGTCTCATTACCATTTATTCAGCACAAAATCAGCATATTAGAATGATTTCTGAAGGATCATGTGACACTGGAGTAAATTCTATTTGTTAAAATAGAAAGCAGTTATTTTAAATGATAACAATAGTTCACAATATTACTGTTTTTACTGTATTTTTGATCAAACAAAATGCAGCCTTGGTAAGAACAAGAGATTTATTTAAATACTTAACGAAATTTACTGACAAAACTGAAAAAAGCTTCATCATCATCTTTTGATCATATTTCATATATTAGCAACTTTAGAAATGGCAAAAAATTCCTGTAAAATTTCATCATGAATTTTATGACAAATGTCGTATAAATATGTAAAAATACATTAGTGATTAAATATTTATTTTGAATCATTATGCAGCCCTAATAAAGAGAAAGGAAAAAATGAAATCGCATCATATGACCCCTTTAAGTTAAATTAAACTATTAGGTTCTAAAATGTTTACTATATAATAATGTGTATGCTTACAGGTTATACATGTATGTATTTAAGTGAAGTGACAGTAAAAGAGTGCAGAATTGTCAATCCTGACTCCACCTCCCAATCCTGAATATTTGGTTGTCACTGTAACATTTTCCCATGAGACTGTGAATGCCAATTTATTTTGTTACACATGAGCAATAAAACAAAATCTTGAATAAAATATGACATAAAACGTTGCATTGAGCTATTCAGCAGTAAACATGAACCTATCAGCTCATGGTTTTACTGTCTTCTCAGGCATCCATGAAGATTACCAGCTTCCCTACTATGATCTGGTGCCCTCCGACCCCTCCATAGAAGAGATGAGGAAGGTGGTGTGTGATCAGAGACTACGGCCCAATGTGCCCAACTGGTGGCAGAGCTATGAGGTAAAAACTCCCTTTCACATTTTCAATGACCAGCCTCAGTTTTTTTTCTGTCAATATGTGACTTTTAGGGCTGGTACATGTGGAACTGATGATAACAGTAGACCACACTAAGAAAAAAAAACATTCAAATAATGGCGCAGCATTCACCACAAACATGCTTGCCAATTGGAAACGCCAAATACAGCCTTTTAATTAAATTCAGCTGTTATTCGCAGGCATACTTGTGAGAGAGGCTGGAAAACTCATTTTTATTTGGCTTTTCTCTCCGCAGGCGCTGAGAGTGATGGGGAAGATCATGCGGGAATGTTGGTATGCCAACGGGGCGGCACGGCTTACGGCTCTGCGGATTAAGAAGACTCTCTCGCAACTCAGCGTCCAAGAAGACGTTAAGATCTGAAACGCGCGGGATGCTGCAGATCCCTGTAGAGACGCACAAGCGAAATAAAGACTTAAGCCAAAAGCAGCCTGCCAGTTTTAGCCCTTTTTTGAACCTTCTAAAGTTGTGACGAGGCCTACCTCACCATTTTAGACGAAACTACTGAGGTTGAGTCCATCCCAGCCCTTTTCCATTTCTCCTAGATCAAAGTTCCCAATCGTGGATGAGCCTCCAACCGCTGATATCAGCACAACTTCCCTCCATGGACCTATTGTTGTTGAGTTCTTTGTTTTTTGTTTGTTTTTTTGCAGGAATGACAATTGAACTGACAGGCATTTTGATTTTATCGTTGTTTTTATTTCACCACTTTCGTCCAAAATGGACTTTGCCGTGTGGCTTTTTAAAAGAATGTTTAGATTTCATTTTTGTGCATCTTCATTCACTAATACACCTGTCGTATTCCAGCGTCAATCTACGATTATATATAACGTAGTGCTCTACTGCTGTTGTGAGAATGTGAAAAAAAATGTGGATAACACTGTCTCCTAGCAATTCATGTACAAAGCTAAGTGTAGCAAAGCGAAGAAGTGCAGATTATTTACTCCAGTAAAAATCAGCCTGCTAATTTATTTTTCTTCAGGATGCGTTTGTTAAAAACTCACTCCATCAATGTGGTTTCAGATTCGAATGCTTTTAAATGTTCACAGGGATTGTGTGTGTGTGTGCACATGTTTTATTTAATTGCTTTCAGGTTCTTAAAATCCGTGTTGTGATTGCTGAATGCATTGTGGGGATGATTGCTCAAGTTTAGTCCTATTATCCGATGGCATCCTGAGAAAGTAAGAACGTTTTTTTTTGTCATAACAAAAGTCACTACCACTTGTATGCTTTTTTTTAAAAATCAACTCATTTTAAGGGGAACATTTAGTATGTTCTATTCACATTATTCTGGGATGTCGGCATGTTAAACTGCACTGTTGTTATTTGTTTGCAGCCAGAGTCCTTTTAGGGATGTAGTAGTTAGTACCACTTCAGAAAACACACATGTACTGAAGTACTGAAGTAAAATAATGCATCTCTCTATTTGCCTGCATTACAGCATTTATATTGCTCTGCTTTGCCTTGCATTGAAGAGTTGTCATTCAGTTTAATTTAAAAGTACTACTGAACATTTCTTCCTCATCTTTACATATAGGGTTTGCCAAGACTAACCACCAAATGCTGGGCACGGCGACATGATCCCTAGAATGCTAGCTGCACTATTCCCTCCATCCTTTATTAACTTTACTTGCACCAATGTCTTGATCACAGTCAGAAATCTGCAGATGTTCTGAACGGTTAACTGGAATCTGGGATATGTGTAACAGTAGGTGCGAAACATGACTAGATTATGGCATTAATGCCAAATGCTTGTTGAAGGGCTGGAGGAGAACAAGGGTCCTGTATTATGTGTAACAAATCAATTGCAGACTCTATTACAGTCCATTTCTGATTGACCTGTGCATTTTATACTGTCGAGGTCATATCTTATGAATCTGCTCTGCGTAGCTGGAATATGTCTGATGACCGCAGCATGATTCAGTCGAGTTGTGACGTTAAGAATGGCTTAAATAACTAAATATGACTGAATTGTTATATCATGGTGCTCTACATCATACACTGGGAATTATGTGCTTAGAAATGTATAGGCTAATTGTTCCACTATTTATATTGTGCTTGCTTTTTTCCCTTACAACTCGGATTTTGCAGATGTTTGTAAAACATGTACTTTAACTTTTGCTGAAGACTTAAGGAATGACACTTGATTCAGACGGTAGTTATGCTTTCAATCCAATGCATACGAGTTTTTGATCCTAAGGTTCCATGTGTATTTTAAACACATTGAAAACAAATCCACTTGTGGGTCTGTTAATATAATGTACATAAATGGTATACAGTAATAAATGCTTTTTCTTATTTGTGTTTCATTGACTCAATTGTCCAACAGCTTAATTACTTAAAATTTATATTTTCAATTATAACGTATAATTTAAATTATAAAATCTCTACACAGATTTTGCCTATAAAAGATGCTTCTCAAAGTGAATTAAGTTTCTAAGCTTTTCACGGGTGAACAAATTTTACGTGACCACGTAGAAAACTTTATATTTAAAATGCGTTTTATTTTTCTTTACAAGAAAGAAAGCAGAGACAAAGAAATAAATGGAGGGCTGGGAGGGAAGGGGACAGGCGTATATAAAGAGATGCAACCTCTGACGTCAAAAAATATGTACAATTCAAAATTATATCCATACAAAACATGCCACATACAATAAAAATGACCATTTTATTCATCTTCACTAAAAGTAGCTCTGCTGTACAGTTGCAGCATCTTTTTTAAAAAGTAGATCAAGTTGAAAACCAAAATCAGGATTTATTTAATTACAACACATGTAGAGAGCTTAAATTAAGAGATTTTAAAAGAACAAAGGGGGGCAAAGAGTCACTCAAGCTAAAATTCAGTAAGCGCCTGTGTTTAATAACAGACGGCCCTTAAAAGAATCAATGCTAGTTCGAAGGATGTATAAATAAAATAATGCTGAGTGCAATTCACATGTAATTAATGAAGATATTTTTGATCAATGAAGTCATACCATTTTCCGGCTCTGCGGCCTTTTCATAAGTCATATAAAACATTAAATTCTACAGGGAGGGGAGGGGAAGAAAACAACAGGACACAAATCAAAAACAGTATCATCTTGGGAGATTCAAGATTTTTCATTTACTGTATATGCTAATTAAACTGTCACTGATTCAAGGACAGGGTTCAGTAATTCACAAGCAGTAGCATAAATAAAAGAAATATACTTGAACAATATTACATAAATACACAAATGCTATGCACCATTTTACTGCTGTTTCTTTCAAAAACAAACAAAAAAAAATCTATTTCCATTAAAAGACTTTGCATGAATCCCATCTTAAATGTTTGCCATTCACCACAACCAGTCTTCCAAAATTCATTAGTGAAGACAAGAGAAACATCACACCTTTTTAGTTAAAATGTATATGGTCTTGTAGGAAAAAACGCAGATAGAAAAAAAAAAAAGAAGTTAAATGCAAAAACACTCTGATTCATATACATAAAGATATTACTTAGTTTGCCATTTTACATATATTTATAGATATATACACATTTAGTTTTCTGATAAAATGATATCCAGTGGTTGCTTTTTTTCATGAATTTTATCTCTCTACAATTTTGAATTTGATTAAAAAGGGGCTGGATAAAGAGTTTAGACCCCTATTATGTACAGTTTATACATTTTGCATTTATTCTTAATGTGAGGTCATAAGTCACGGGAGAAAAGAACAAAGTAGCATGGGCTATGTGGAGACTTTGTTCAACTCCCTTCTTTGAAATTCAACCGTTTTAAATTACTTGAATATAAAAGAAAATAGAAATGCCCTTTTTAAGTCTTCCTCCGTCACTGCATCAAGCCTGTAGACTGTGCTACCACTATCAAACCACAATACACAGATTTAGATACAACCGGCCATCAGCAGGCAGAGAAAGACTCACTACAGTAAGTTTACAACAGTCCACTATCACAGAAGGGAAGAGGCTTTACACCTAAGAGTCCTGGTTGGAGTGATGAGATCCGAACGGCGACCTAATGAACGCAGGATGGAAGGATTCAAGATGGGAAAACATGTCAAGCGCAGTGGCAGTCTTGCATCATTTTGCCCTATAATCTTTCAAATTGCACCAACGTGGATCCGCACTGTGGCCCTTTCTCATAATTTGCTCCATCGTCAAGAACACGAGAGAATCCAGATGAACGTTTCTACACTAAAAGCATAATCTGCATGTGTGTCGACGCAGCTACATGATATCTACAGTCGGAAAAAGGTGGCCTCCAAGACACCCGTTTGAGTTTTGATTGCTCTAAGTAATGCATCGTCATATACTGTATCTCACTTGTATAATCAAATCAAAAAGAGTTGCATTGGCTCACTATTGTAGTTATCAGAAAGCAAAATATAGATAGAAGCAAACCTGCTGCTTAAGTTTCCCTGCTTATCCGAGAAGGCAATTGCCATGGACATTCCTGCCTTCCCCTTTCCACAGTAGCACTTAACAGTTTAATACAAAGCAGTGACGTCCCACAAACTCAATGAGGTAGACTGGGTGAAATAAACCCACCTTTTAACTCAATATAATAAAACATCTGGTGCCTTTCGAGCCACAGGTCAATAGTATTTCGACGTTATCTCATCACAGTTCTACGCAGAGCCACTCCAGGATTGTCTTGCCAATGTCCATGACCTTCATTAATGATTTGATGGGAGAGTGTTCGTCTGGGGTGACGGAAAGGGTGGTAGCGGAAAGGATAGGTCCAAGCTAAAGTGTACTTACATGGCTTTAGTCAAACATCTTCACTGAGTTCTAGTCTAAGTGTATTGATATGCTATAGCTTCAGTTATTTTGGTAGATGTCGAAGGGTCGATTGCAGCCAGAGTCAGCTTATTGTAGGAGGAAACAGTGAAGGAAGTAGAGGTGCTTTTGGCAGAGGTGTATTTTTTTAATCAACACGAAAGATTCAAGCAGGTCCAATACCTTTGAGCTCATCTGTAAAAGGTTGTGGCATCAAAAGTTTAATCTTCAAAGCTTTGGCTCTTGTTGTGAATAACAAAGTCTTGTCGTTCAGGTGACTGAGAGTGAACTGTTCTTCCTCAATTTAGAGCAGCTTATTAACTGGATAGTAAGAATATAACAGGCTTTGGCGCAGGAGTGTTCTGGCACCAGGGAGCAAAGACGGGTCGGACTCTTTCTCTGTCCCTGTTAGTTCATCCACTTTCTGCAATTCCAGGCTCCACAATGGCAGGGGATCTTGTGCTGATCGTCCTCGAAGTCAAACTGATAGTCATACGTCAGCTAAAATAGATTGAGAGAGGACAATACAAAGTGTTATACTGGGGAACAGCACTGAGAGCACTGCCAAAAAAGATTACTGTAACTAACCTCTTCACCCTTCGGGATCCTGCGACTAGAAATGATGATGATCTTGTCCTCTTTGTCAAACGTCACAACTTCTGCGACACAGTTGGGTGCACACGAATGATTGACATAACTAGGGGAGAGAAAGTAATCAGAAACTAAGACCCAAACCAAACACTTGGATTTCAAGAACAGCACAGGAAGTATGATCTTACCGGGCAGGACCACCAGTTAAGGTGGCATCAATCACATGCTCGTTATTAATGCGGAACATGTAGATCCCACGGTTCTGATTGAGGAAAACGATGAGTTTAGAAGAAAAAGAAAAAAAAAACTAGAGCAAATATATGGTGGAAGCTTGACATCTACAAACCTGCTCCTCGTAAATCTTCTCTCTGCGATTTGCAACCTCGTTGCGAATGATGGTGCCAATGTACTCAATGACCATGGTGTGTTTTTCAAGGTCTTTAGCAGCGTACAGACCCAGTCCTTGAATGCGAGAACGGGCCAGGTACACATTGTTCTTCCACTCTGTCTTCAACCGACGATACTGAGAAGATTTGGAATGAACAAACTGCTTGCTGTACGGGGTGTTGATCTCTCCTGTAAATGTGCTCTGATAGGCTTTGGACATACTCGTGCTGTTCAGAGTATGAGGCCTGAGAAGCAGAATAAAGTTACATTAGAACCTTACCATCTCCAAACCTTACTTTTCTGAAACATAAGGTCTTCAATTTCTTTTGTTCATTACCTTTTGCAGTGGGTGAGAACTCTGGGTTCTGATCGTGCACAGCCTGTAGGATTGATCATGAGAGGAAGCTCCATGAGAGGATGGCGGCCATATCGGAACGTATAATTCTGACAGTTTTCCACACCAGGAAGCTGAAGGACATCAGAATCAGAATTAGCTTTATTCGCCAGGTGTGTGCAAACACACGAGGAATTTGTTGTGGGTTTTTTTGGACATGGGTAAATAACAAAAAATTTAATAATATTGTTTATTATAATAATCAAGTCATTTAAGAAAAATTATTGTTACTAGGCATGGGAAACTATTCTGATTTCAGTTCCTCATAACGATTATGGTTCCATAATTAGTTTTTTGTTTTTTTAAGAAATTTTATTTATCTGACAACTTAGAGTAAAAATTCAAGTAAATAACAAATAGATGTGAAAAAGTCTTTTTAGAGGCAGCACAAATGTAATCCGATAACTGGCCTTAACTAGAAACTTAGTCGTACCCTTACCAGTGCTTCTTGAGTGCAACGAGATTCCAGACAATCGCTCAGAAATTCCCACTCCAGAAATGATTAGTAAGCATAGACACTTAAAACATACTGCGGAGTACATTCCATAGCCTGATCATCATGCTCCTATTCATTCTCTGTATAAAAAGCTTGTTATGTCTTATGTGATCACGTGATTGATTTACATGCTTATATTTCTGTATTTTCTTGTATGTTTACAGTTTTACGTTATTTCAAGATCGATAGTAAAGCTGGAGAAAAGATTCCTTGCTTCTGTTGTTATTGGAAGGCGTTATCTGTCTGCCAAATCAAGCAGGGCGTTTGATAAGAGGGCAGAACATATACATTAGACAACAATACTAAACTGTGGTGACATACATTTCATTAATACAGTAAAATGCTTTTCTGTCCACATCAGCAGAAGAATGTTTGTGCACGACCGGTTAACAAATGAATGTCATTTAGTTTAGGGTTTTGTTTTGTTTTTGTTTTTTTTAATATATTGAAACCAAATGACGTGCATTTTTTAACTGTTCTTTTGTTAATGATCCTGAATAAAAACAATTCTCTGTTAACATCCATACTTATTAATTTCTCACCGATTCAGTGATTCGCATTACTGCATGGACAGTGAGTCCATACATCTCTTCTCCTTTGACATGCTCGGTGAAGAGTTTCAACATGGCTGCTTCATCACGCAGCTTGGCAACCTGCTGCACAATCTTGGA